CCCGAGGCACACGGGTTGGTCGCATCCGTAGTGTCAGCACCTGGAGCGCCTCAGTCTGTTACAGAAAACACGTGCTCGGCACCTGCCGACCCGAGGTGAAGCACGCACTAGCCCAGGGGGTGCTAAGGCAGCAGTGCGGTCAGCGTAGAGTAGGCCACGGCCGGAAGCGCTTCCTTCTTTGCCTTCCCTTTCTTTTCAGTGTGGATCCAGTCTTAAATCACTGTAAAAAAGCGGCTGTGGTTAACAGCAGCGGCAGAGCTATCCGGGGTGTTGTGACAACACCTTCACCGCTGTGGGGTGGGGGGGGGTGGCACGTGTATACCTACTGGAAAGACACCTTAAGTGAAGTTTTGGTTCTGCTTTCACAGCACATTTTTAACCAATATACTTTAAAAAAAAAAAATACCACCAACAATGGCTGTTTATTCAGTTTTGTTGTCTAGTTAGGTGAGTTTGAAAGAAATGTATCATTGTATAAAGAATGCAGAATATTCCACAGACCTGAATAGTGATGTTGATCCAAATCTGCTTATTTTTAATAACTTTTTTTAAAGTGTTTGTATACACTAGTGCTCTTGGAACAGATTCTTGCCTGACCAAAGTACTCCTGTTTCGTGGCATGGTTTAAATCTATTCAGCATAAAGTTGTTGTTAGGTGTAAAAATGACATGGCATTGATAATCCTTGTTCGCTGGGGTTCGTGAGAGCTGCCGTTTTGTCTACATGAAAAGTCTGGGATTGCTTCACCTATTCCTCTGCTACCCAGGGAAGTCACTTCTGAGCAGAGTTCAAACGTTCTCTGGGTGTATGGAAGTAAACGAGAAAAAACATGACACACCTTTAGCAGACCAGTGACACCTTATCTGAAAGCTGGAATGCTTTAGCTTTCTGCAGAAGAGCCTGTTTGCCGTTACTAGTGAGCAGGGTGTCCTGTTTCTACAGGGGAACAGCAGCCTTTAGGCCAGGGCACTACTCGTGTGTCTTTAAGTGAACCCCCAAAACTTAGATCATCGTGTTACTTCACAGATCAGAAGACAAAGACATTTTTCCTCCTTCCTATATTGTTTCCTGTCTTAAGTTTGCTGAAAACTTTGCTTTTAAGCACTTCTAATCAATAGGTATTTTCAGTGTTTACAGTTCGTACGCGCAACAGTTGTTAGTGAACAAACAGGGGTTTTCCCAAGTTTGTTCCCCCTCTTGCGTCTAAGCCACGGGAAGGTGAGTACATCATAGAAGTGCTGGGTAACTGGAGTGTGGGCACCGTTTTCACAAGCCCGTTGGCGTAGTGTTGGAGAGCAGAAGGGACTGTACGCTGCAATTTCACCTTTTTTCGGAATAGGCCTTGAAATGTGGTATCTGAACTCCGAGTTTTCTGTATTGAACTGTTCGTTTCAGGCATGCAGAGGAGAAAGTGGCACTCTCCATCCTCATCTAAAAGTGGTACAGGATAAAATTCTCAAACACAAAGCTCTCCAACTTGCCTCCTCAGCTTCTCTGAGCGCGATGGTTCCTCACGGTCCGTGTTCATAGCGTCGGCAGAAATTGCGGGTTTAACGAGGTAATTTGACTTCCGTGGTGTTAAATCACTCAAGTGTAAGTACAGGTTCCTACAGGTGATCCTAAATTCAGTCCCCCATAAAAACCAGAGGTAATAGCACATTGTTCTAGATGAAAAGAGCTCTTTCTTTCAGACATAAGGAATGGCCTGGAGCAGCTAGGATCCTGTGCCATGGACTCTGGAGTTGAAGTCAGGTGTTGGTGTTTCCCTTTCCCTCAGTTTTGTTCAAGCCCAAGGTAAGGGCATCACCGTTTGTATGTACCTGAATAAGCACCTTTGCAAGGGCACAGCAGCATGGGGGCAGGGGAACACGAAACAAACCTGGCAGCTCATGTCTCACTCGTAAGGACTCACCGGGGGAAAGAGAGGGGCAGGCTTACCGTGACGTGCTGGGAGATGGTACCCGAGGGAGTACGACACTGAATCGCAGCTGACAGAGTGCGAGCTTTAAAGATCGGGTCATTCCGGGAGGACTGGTGTAGGGCCCAGAATGGCAGTCCTCTCACAGAACCCCAAGCCTTCTGTATAACTTATTTTTCTATTTGTGGGGGAGGAAAGAGGGCAGTCCACTTACAACCGCTTTCCTACGAGGAAACTTGAAATTGCACATGTTCCTTCAGTCTATAGTTTTATCAAGTGCATACTTTTAAATATTGTTTGTCAGTGAGAAGGTTCTATCTGGTGATAAATGTTTATATTTCTTATGGCTGCCTTGTAAAGATTCAAAAATGTACAATAATGAATTTCTTAATATGAAATAAGGAGTCAGATTTCTACAACTGGTATAGATTTTGATGTGAGCTGGTTTTTAAAATCTTCTAACAGAGAGTCACTTAAATAAAACCTTGCCTTTAAGCAAACAGTGTCACTGATTTTTCTTTCCAGTGATGTGGGAAGCATTAGCTCGTCCTTGTCCGTGTCCTGGCAGCCAGTGGAAACAGCAGGCAGAGGGGCTGTTAACACACCTGACCCTCTGAAGTAATACTTGGGTTGGGGGTGATTGTTCACACGACTCCGACCCTCCTTCCTTTTGAAAAGTCATAGGAGAAAGTTCAGGAATGAGACAGTGTCTTTGTGAAATCTTTATGGAAGTAGTTTCAGTACATGCAGGGAACAACTCCAAGCTGCTGTTGGGTATAGAAAGGTGGTTTAAAATCAACAAAACACACCAAAAAACCCACAGCACAAAACACACCGAAAATACATCAACACATAGCACAAGCTAAGGCTCTCGGTCAGGGAAGTCAGGGTTGTTTTCATGTTGCCAGGCCTCAATATTTTACAACAGTCCAGCTTGACACGAAAAAAGAAAAACCAGGAGCAAGTTTAAAAATCAATACTTATAAATCAGAATTGGACAGGACTTCTTCCCATATTTATACTTAATACCATTAAAATAGTAGTAGTTTCAGTTTTATTAAATTACACATGTATCTTAAAAATTATGAAGCAGAACAAATTTTCCCCAAATCATCTTTTGTCTTAGAGTAAATGCAATCTGAGAAGCCTGCACAAAGCTGCTGCAGTGGAAAACCACCCTGCTGTTGAAGTCTGGAAGCTTGAGAAATCTTTGCTGTAGTTTGACTAAACGTTACACCGAATCACCCACCAAAAAAGGCTCGTCAAATGAACATTACTGTAACAAAAAGTCATTAAAAGAAAAATAGAGGTTATCGAGTGCTTGGTATACTTCATCAGCTAAAATACCTGCACTGTGGTGTTAGCTAGTGAGAGTAGGTGTCAGAGGTTACGTTAATTGTAGTAACTGATTGCTGGGTACAGCTAAAAGACACGTGTTGTAGTGCAAAAGCAATGCTTAACTGCCGAGATAGTATTTAAAACAGCAGCAATAAAGGACAAAGTTGCTCGGATTTGGAGCCCAGCTACTTAAGAAAGGAGTAGTGAGGCTAATCTGACCTTGAAGGCCGTGGAGTCGCAGCGTGGCTCCTCTCGTGTGCGAATGGCTGCAGAAGCCTGCTGCCTTGGAACGGCAGTTCTGGGCAGAACTCAAACACGCCGTGACTGTCGTGGTCCAAGGAAACAGGATGCTTAACCTTTGGGCGGTTAGCATGCAGAAAGGAATGGTTAGGCTTTCCAAATCACAGACCACAGTATGCACGGTAAAACTCTTGGCAAGTGGATACCAATCTAAATACTACTGTTGCCCACGATTACCCTTCATAGGGCTGCGGCCCGTGCTCTGGCCATTCCTCCTGGGCAGTTCAACAGAAGCTTCAGAGAACTTCCCGCCTTCTGGCAGTCACACAATGAAGATGGTCCCTCACCTCGGCAGGAGAATGCACATGGTACAACTCTGATTCTCTGCTCACTTGAAAAGGGGCAGCGAGGGAAGGGAAATCCTGAGCTGCTTTGAGAAGAAAGATTATAAAGTGTAATGGCTTATTCAGTGTACAGAGTCCAGCCTTTCCCACGTTACACAGAGCTCTCCTTTGTACACGCTCATGAACTACCAGTATGTACAGCCATCCCTGTCAGATGCCAAGCGCTCCGTGGAGTTCCTTGGCCTGACTTCCGATAGCCTGAGAAGGTTTCCGAGACCGACGTGCAGACTGTAGGTTTCGTGCCATCAGATAACAGTCGTTGGATGCTGCCTGTCGCCTGCAGAACGACAACAAGACTGCCGTGAGCAGCAGGAACTCAGCACGGTTAATGCACAGCTTGTCACGCACGTGGCTGGAAAACTGGTAGGTGGGAGCAAGGAGGGGGTCTGGGACCTGCCAGACCAATTGCTGTGCTTAAAAACACCAGCCATACAGGTACCAACTGCTGTTACCATGACAGCATCGTCTTAACTGCTAAGACAGTGCTAGGGGTGGAGAGGACAGGCTGTAAAATCAGACAGCTCAGGGTTAACGGTTCGTTCTGTCATGCTTGGCCACGTCATTAGTAATGAGTGAGAACTGAGGTCGAGTAGCAGAGACATTAGTACCAGTAGTTTTCTGGTCTGGGGTGAGAAAAGCTGCTGCTCACACACAAGCCCAACCTTGGGGTCATTGCAAACCCAGAGGGTTTCACTACTCCACAACGTGCAGGTGAAGTTTTGCACCTGCTCAGTGATCTGCGGTAGCAGAGACAGCCACCGCGAACACGCGGGGAGACCCCTCTGGTTCCAAACAACGATGCTCTAAGGAAGCAGCAGTTACTAAGCCTTTCTGTCTCCAAAAGCAGGTTTTCTCCCCACAGGTGCATGCAGGTACAGACAAGGTGAGCGAACAGCTACTTTACCTGGTTGGAACTATCTTCAGTTACGAATGAGAGAGACTGTCATGTCACTAACAAATGGGAGAACATCAGGCGTGAGACTGGGTGAACTTTCAGTAGATACGATCATTCACTTCATACAAGATTCAACCTACCGTTGGCTAGAAATGGTCCCAGTGGTAAAACCGAGTGTTTGGAATTATGTAGGATATTCAGCCCTTACCTCTGATGATAAAACAACTTAACGCTGAGCCCTCTCTAGAGGGTTTTAGGTGCTTGACATTTAATTAGCGAATGCTTGACATCAAGTGTTGTAAGAGAAGAAGAGCTTTAGGGAACTGCCCTGTGACAAGACTTCTGACCTTTAGTTTTTACTGTCTTCATATGTCTAATTGAGCATAACATAACCTTTACAAACCCAGCAGCCTACCACCTCGTGATCAGCCGAGGTGGTGTGTAAGAGGCTTCTGCATCCTCTGAATTTTCGAGCTGCGGATGCCAAGGACTCTCTGCTAACACAACGCTACCTAGTAAAAGGCTTTGCTTATAAACGTGCCGGTACCGATGAGTGTCAGCACGACGGGATTTCTGCCCCCCTTCCCGGCCTGGATTGCCACCTCCTGTAGGCAGAGCAGGGGGGCACCGCTGGCGCTCAAGGGCAAAGGTGGGCTCTTCAGGGGGAAAGCCGACTGCTGCGAGAAACCTGACGACAAGGAGCGCGATTGGCAGGTTTCCAAAGCTGCAGATTAACCTGCCCGGCTGTCTTGAAGAAAGAAGGGTCTGCTGCCTTACAGCTGAGAAGGTTCTGCAGCTGTTCCCCAGCCTGAGTTACGGGGGTCCCTGACCCTGCGGCTGGCAGCAGCCGGGTGGGAGGTTGCTCTAAGCTGAGGGACAGCGAGCGGTACTTACCTCTCCTCTTGCACAACGGCATCATCAGATGCCTGAGATCGGCGCTCCAGCTGGCAAATCCCTGAGGAGATCAGATCCAGCTCGCAGTCCAGCTCTCTGCAAACGGAAAGGTCGTTACTGCAGACGGCAGGACAGGCCGAGTAGCCGGCAGTGCGCAAGCCTCCGTCCCAGCAGGAACAGCGCTGCCTCCAGCCTTTACCCAGCGAAGTTTAGTGCTCTTCGTTTCACTGACCCTCTCACATCTCCACCCCCCACACCTCTATCTTCCAGTTCAAGCACTGGGTTCAGATTCACAAGGCTTGGATTCAGCCTCCAGCTTTGACATTTCTCATGTGACTTTGACCCAAACAAAAACCCGTTTGTGCATTGTGACTTCCCTCCTTCGCTCACAACTCCTCATCTAATTTGTGTTAAATCTTTAAGGCAGGAATCTCTCTGCTCTCCGTACAGAGCTCAGCGTAAGCAGAGCTATTCATGCTGTCCCTGATTGCCAACAGAACTTGGGAAAAGTTAAGCAGGAGCGGGAGGCATTGAGAGCATTTTTCTGTACCAGAAAGGCATCAGCCAGGAACTCGGGTGCGTCTCTGGTGTCTGATAGTAAACTCTGGTGTAAACTTACCCAGGGGGAGAGTGACTTCTTAAAAAGTCCTTGTCACGGCAAACAAACGTTTCATGTTTCAGCTTTATACAGTGCTCCATCCCCATCTATACAGGGACCTGTAACTACTTCCTTAACTGCTGGAGCGGCACAGCCTTCAGGGGAAGGGGAGAGCAGTCTTCCTTCCTTGCCTTTCGCCTTACATGATACCCCAATCACAGTAATTAAAACAAAGGAATAAGGTTTACAAAAGAATGGTGGCTTACATCTTCCTGCCGGCAGGAGCAGGCGATGAATAAGGGCTCTTCAGCGCTGCTGCTCTTCTTGGTCTCCGGAGCGAGACGGCGTCTTTACCAAGCCAGGATGAGAAACCCCTCCATTCCCTGCGTTCTGCGGCCCTCGTTGGCCCAAGCAAGGCGCTTTTGCTGGATCGTGGGGTGCCTTTGGAAGCGCCTGCTGGAGTAACACTTTTCTTACGGCAAGGGGTTCGAGGCGCAGTGCTTCTTTTCTTGGTAGGACTGCTTGCACGGCTTCTGCTGATGGATTCGGCTGGAAAGGTCACCAAAGGGCAAGACTTCTGTATTTTCTGAAAGAAGCATCAGACAGACACGTTGCGCGAAATGAACTCAACCGGCCTGGTTTGGAACCAGAAAGACAAGGAACGTTTGAGCTGAATCCCTAGCTGTCGCTCTCATAGCAGGTTTAGTCTAGAACGATTGCTTCTCAACCCTCCTACCCATTTGCGTTGGAGCAATCATTCTCCCCCCAGTCCTTGGAACTTGCCAAGGACTTCAGGGGGCATTGGAACAGAGCTCCTGCACTTGCGCTGGAGAGAGCCGGGCTCCCTAACCCACGACTGATGTGGTTATGTCGGAGGTCTCCGCCAACAGCAGCTCTGGTTTGCTGCCCTGCTGCCATCTCATGGTTCTGTCAGCCCACATTTAGATGGACTGGAGCGAAGAACCTGCTAACAAATAGTGTGGGTACAAGAAAAGGAATAAAAACCAAAAAATCCAAAGCGCTACACGTTTCTCAGAAGCAATTCCTTCGCAAGCAATGGCAGTCTCTGCCCGCCGTCCTCCCTGTGGAGGCTGCTTTGCCATATAAATACAGTAGGGAAAAGCATTTATTTAGTAATAAAATACAAGTTTTGATGAACCTGTCTTGCCTTTCTTCCTTTCACCTTCCTCCCTGTTCTGCCAGATCCGTAATTCACCTGTCTGGACGATGTTACTGGTCAGCAGCTACGGACAACGACTGCTGTGTGTGGGAGAGACTGCCAAACACAGCATTCCATATGGAGTCAAGAAATCTCAGCCCTGAAATGAAGCCCCACTGCAAAGGCAAAGTACCTGGGACACTGTTCCAAAAGCGTTTTTCGCTGTTCTTTTTATACTCTGGAGGGTTTGGCACTTCTGTCTTGCTTCCAGACTTTCCCAGGTTGGGGTCTTTGGAAAATTCAGCTCTACTTGCTTTAGGGGTACTCGCTTCCGTAGGGACATGCGGATGGTATTGAGAGAACTCAAAGCAGCCCTTCTCCGGAACGTGTCGGCTGCGGGGCTCTCGTTCTCATCGAGGTCAGCCAGGAGTTGGTGCTGGCGCCAGGCCATCGTTGCCTTGACGTTTCGCAGCACAGAGACCATCTTCTTCCGGTTCTCGGTCAACCCTATTTCCAAGGCAATCACAGCGAGAGGAAGAATTAGACGGATCAGGGTACAGAGCGCTGTGAAGGAGGAGAAGGGGAAACATGGCATACTGGGTTACATTTGCCTGAAACAACCCGTCAGAGCTGAGCGGAGTTTGGCTTGGGCGGCTCGAAGGGGAGCAGCTCATTTCTACAGCTCCTCAGCTCTCTGCGTTTGCAGCAGCCACCGTCCGAGCCGGTGAGCCGCGAGGACGCTCTCGCACCGTGCGTTTCTTCTTGGTGTCTCAGACTAAGGTCTCCTATCCCACATTTTTGCCTTCGTTAATCGAAATGGCTTTTTGCTGCCGGGCAAGCTTACGCAGCCGCTGTCGCGTCCCGCCACGATGCTGGCTGCTGGCTCACGCTTCAGTGCCGACTGAACACGCAAGTCCTGACACGGGCAGGATTGTTACCGGCAGAAGAAACTGGTGGGAAGGGCTAAGATGCCTGATGTCGACAGGACAGGCGACAATTGGAACCTGTACGTACGGTTTAAATTCACTTCCGCCAGCTGTCACACTGGGGTACCACCAGCACGTTGCTTCTAAAAAGCAACTGAAATGCAGATCTGTCTCAGCAGTTGCTGAAGTTGAGAGCAAACCAATCTCACCCGCACTTCCTCGCAGATAAAGCAGCCGGGAAGCCTTTACCGTCATTAGGCCGCGTCGTGGTGAAGAGCACTCGGCTTGGCTCGCTCTGGTCTCCCAGCTCGCCCCCCTCTCACCAGTTTGTGTCACAGATTGGTAAGGCGTATGGAAATCATCGAATCACAGAA